AAAAAATATTAATATATTTATTTTATTGGATATAATAACATAATTAAAATATAATTAATAATATATATTTTATAAAATTATTAATATTTTATATATAAAAAAATAAAATAAAACCGGAACGGCCCGTTCTGAAACTGGAACGGGCCGTTCTGGTGCATTTTGGGTGTGTTAATTTTGCACTTGGAACGGGCCGTTCCGGATGCAAAATTAACACACCAAAAGTGCACCCAGAACGGCCCGTTCCGGTTTCAGAACGGGCCGTTCTGGATCCAGGTGTTTTCAAAAAAATTCTTATCCACGTGGATGCCACATATGCATTTACGTGGCGTCCACGTGGCCAAAAGTTAACACCGTTAAAGCAATTTGGACGGAAAGTCCCACATTGAAACCAATTAATTAATTTAGGACTAAATTGAATCCAATTAATTAATTTGGGACCAAATTGAGACCAAAAATTAATGAGGGGTTAAATTGAAAAAAAAAAAGATTATAAGGGACCAATGACATATCAAAAATTCTCAAATCAAACATTATTGTCCGCCGAATGGTTAGTCAAAACTTAACAATGCCCAATTTAACCTAGAACTTTGCTAATCGAATTAAGATTCAACATAGATTCATTAGAGGAATTTCATCATTGACACCAAAAGATGTCCTTGAGTAGATATACCCACCAAAATAAGATTTTATGGTTGTAGAAAGCGTCAAACTCACATAATAAAGAACTCAAGCCAGGACTGAATCATGTACTATTTGTAGTAATCCATGATGACATTTTAAAAAAAATGTAAGTTATACCAAAAATAAAACTAAATGTAATATATCATTATCTTTAATATGTATACTAATATTATATTTATTGTATGTTTTTATTACTTTTTCATTTTATAAATATAAATTTTATCATTCAATATATTTTTCACCCAATAAATATAAATATACATTTTTATATATTAAATAACATATTAACATTATATTATGTATGTATTGAATGGAAGACGATAACACAATGACTTGAGGAAGATAACCACGACATTGACAACTTTAAATATACCATTTGCATGCGTAGCTAGCGTTATCTCCCACTCTCCTTGATTTTCAATTTCAAGCAAAAAAAAATTATCTTTTCACTAAACAACAACGTGATGTCGAAAAAAGACAGAAGAAACGGATACATGAACTGATGAACCTAACTAGCCAAACATTCCTGCTGCATGCTTCTTTGTCGTAAAAAAACAACCCCATTTATTCTTTTTAACTCTATCCTTAAGCCAGTAGCTTCAAAGGGTCTTAGAAAACCTGTGCCTTTAAATACTTTACAAGAAGCAATAACAAAGAGTGGATAATTCCCTCTTCCGTTCCACTGCAAATCCCAAAAAAGCAATGACAGCGTTACTGAGTCTGTTGGTTTTGCTTTTCTTCTTCTGTTCTTATGCCCCTTCTTCGTTTTGTGCAAATGTCACGTACGACCACAGAGCATTGGTCATCGATGGCAAGCGCCGAGTCTTGTTCTCTGGTTCTATTCATTACCCTCGCAGCACTCCAGAGGTTCTCTTCGTTACCTTCTTTCTTTGTCTATGAAATGCACACTACACTCTTTTTTTTTTATTTTTACCTTTGTTTATTTAGTTTGGGCTTAAAAGGGGTAGTTTTTGTTGTTGCAGATGTGGCCAGACCTCATTCATAAATCCAAAGATGGAGGACTTGATGTCATTGAGACTTATGTTTTCTGGAACTTACACGAACCAGTTCGAGGCCAGGTTCTCTTCTATTCTGTTACTATTACCAATTTTGTATTGTTTCTGTTTTCACTGTCTTTTGCATTGCATGTTGTGTATGTGTGTGTTCATTTTTCAAACTTTCTCAGCAATCAAACAAGTGAAGGGTCCAACATATGCAGCTTAGGAAAATAAATGATCACTCTTTCACAGTTAGTATGAACTATGAACAGTGTAGTTAAATCTTAAAAGCATGGAATTGGGTGGAGTATTTCTCAATATCAATCAGAAGGCATAAATTGGAAACAGTTTATAAATTTGGGGTCTTCTGATGAAATCAATGATGAATTATGTACTTTGGCTTGGCAGTATAATTTCGAAGGTAGGGGTGATTTGGTCAGATTTGTGAAGGCAGTAGCAGCTGCAGGTCTATATGTACACCTGCGGATTGGTCCATATGCATGTGCCGAATGGAACTATGGGTAAAATTGGACCCTTTCTGTGTTTCTTTCTAACAAGGACACTCATATCTGATCATGGCCTTTAACTTTTCTCAACAGTGGTTTCCCTCTTTGGCTGCATTTTATTCCGGGAATTCAGTTCCGAACTGATAATGAACCATTCAAGGTAATTATTCCTTTCCTTTCTGTATGTCTCATCGTGCAACATCTGCTTTCTTCTATAATGCGAAATTGAATTTTCTTCAGGCTGAGATGAAGAGGTTCACGGCTAAGATTGTGGATATGATGAAGCAACAGAACCTCTATACGTCACAGGGAGGGCCTATTATTTTGTCTCAGGTTTTTCTTAATTTTTATTATCTACATGTCAGTTTTTCTTTTATGAGAATAAATTATCGCATCCAGACGTGGGAACATAGTATAGAGACAGAAGAGTGAAGACAGTCTTGAATTTTTAATGGCCTACTGCATACTTTTTTAATATGAAAAGATAGTCTAATATTAATCATAATATACACTTTCTACTGCCAGGTTGAAAATGAGTATGGGAACATTGATGCAGCCTATGGTCCTGCTGCTAAATCCTACATCAATTGGGCAGCATCAATGGCAACATCTCTTTATACAGGGGTTCCTTGGGTAATGTGCCAACAGACAGATGCTCCTGATCCAATTGTAAGTTTTCTCCTTTAAGCTGTCTACAAGTGTTATGAAGTTTACCAT